TTGAGGCTTTTTTCCTAAAATTCAAGTTAAACCCAAAATTTTGAAGTAAATTTTTCCACATTTAAGATGTGAAATCTCTGGAAATTAAGTAAATAAATTAGGTAGGTTATTAATTGAAGTATGTTGCCACTGGCGGTCAGCAGCTGTATAAATCCTGATTTTGTGCTGTTTTCAGTATCAGGTATTCCATCCTGCAGAGTGAGGTTTGGGAGATTGTTGTAGTTTTCCCAAGTAGACTTGAAGCTCTGCTTTTTTTCTTTTATAGTCATTTATTAAAACCAAATGAAAAAATCCCACATTTATTTGCTGCATCAGTTAAAATGCCTTTGTAAAGCTCTGGTTTTGGGAGGGTTGACTCTGTGCTGTTGTAATAAATCCTGGGTTTTGTAACTGTTGTTCTGCTTTTCCTGTTCTTTGCAGTACAGCTTATAGATGTCTGTGTTCAAATGTTATTTCTTCAAAGATATCTGGAGGGGCTTTAGCCTCACGTGGCATTCAGTTCTGTCATTCTTGGCCACTCCCATACCTCTGAAATGTTAGGTTTAGCTTCTTAAAACACCAATACTTGTAATAGTAAAGAAACTTCCATTTATAACAGTGAGACTCTGAGGATAAGGAAACCTGTAACAGTGGGGAACCCTGGAAGTTCTGTCTTTAATGTATGTGGGAATCATCACAATTTATTTGTAAAATCACTTTCCTGGGTACTATCTTAGTACACTTTTTAAAGCGACTTGAAAGTCCTGATCCTGCACAGGCAAGTAAACGTGACTGACTTTACTCATCTTGACTAATTGTGTGATTAAAGCTTTTCACACACACAGTGTTTTTCAGAATAGCAGCTAAAATACTTTTATGCTCCAAAATTTTTGTCTGCCATGTTTTCTTGAAGTCTTGGGTTCCCTCTGCTGGTTTCTTTACACGTCTGCTAGTTTCTTTACGTGTCTGCTGGTAAAGTAACTTTGGAGAGCCATTCTGATTTTTACAAAGAAATCAATCTCTCGGTTGTGAAAAGGAAATAATTTTCCTCTTGCCTATTCATTGTGAAAACTCCTCTTCTAAACATTGACTGAGCGTCTGTAAATCTTTTTTTTTTTTTTTTTTTAAACTTGAGTTCATCATTACAGGGTAATGTTTAAAATGAGGAGCTCTGAGTAACAGTGAACATCTTATCCTGAAGCTTAGCTTATTTATATATCTGTATAGATATTAACACAGGTACTGTGACTGTTTTTACAGTTCTTACTCCGTCTTATTCAGAAGGAACTTCGGTGTAATGCAGATCATACCCTGTAAGTGTTATGCACGGCTGTTGCTCTTTAATAACGGTTTAGAAACATGTTATTAAGCCTTTGCCCCATAATACCTAGATGTAGATTGAATGTGTTAAGGTTTCTGTATGTCCATTTCTGTCTGTTTTAATTTTGCTTCAAAAGAGTAAACTCAGTTTGATGTTTTCAAATCACGAACATTTTTCTTTAGAACATCTTATTTTGAAAAGTATCTGAAAATACATCTCTGTCACGGTCTCTTAGTTATGGTTTGTTTTTTCCCCAGTATGTTATCTTCCTGGGTTTCATGATGGAGCGTGCACCTGGGGAATAAGAAGCTACTCAATTGCTTGCTCTGTGTTTATTAATAGTTTCAAATGTAACTTTTTCCAAAAGGTCTCCTTCAAGGAAAGGGTAACTCTGAATTTAGTGTTTTGAATTGAGGGGAAAAAAGGCAGTGAATCAATGGGGTTACACTTGCATATGCAAAATCTAAATTGAGACCCCTGGTTGTAGTTTTGGAGAAGTAAAATGGACAGAGAATAGCATGGCAAGGGATGGATCTTGCATTTTGAAGTTAGTGGCTGTTAACGCCTTACACCTCAATTTTTCCTGCCTGGTTGCCGTTCTCTCCCAGGTTTAAAGAACACTGAGCTACGAGACCAGATTCGGAATAAGGACTGCGTCAGTGATCAGAGCTCTTCCCTGGAAAACAAACTTCATGGAATGCATTATTCTATATTTAAGAGATTCTGTTTGGTGAAGAACTTTGCATGTTTACTGGAAGCAGTGTGAGAAATGCAACTGTTAAATCCCTGAAGCTCTTATTTTTGCACATGAATAAGTACCTCAGGATGGCAACTACTCGTCAGATGAAGAGACAGGAACTTTGGGAAGGTTTTCGCAGCACGCCTCAACTGAGCCAAAGAGAAATACCAAGTGCCTTTTTATTTCTTTTGATAGGATGTTTTTAATTAAAATGCTGAACTGTGTATTTTGCAAAAACAAGTCAAAAACTAGAGCAGAAGGAAGTTGAAATCATAACAGTCTAGCAGTGAAATGTCCCAGTGTCAGTGAGCAAAGTATGTATCCCTTATGTCATGTTGCGCACATCAAGGACATCACTTTATAGAGGACAATACCAGCTGGTTATTAAGATGCACTGCTATTTTATCATAGAATGGTTTGGGTTGGAAGGGATGTTAAAGATCATCTAGTTCCAACACCCTGCCATGGGCAGGGACACTTTCCACTAGACCAGGTTGCTCAAAGTCCCCTTCAACCTGGCCTTGAACACTTCCAGGGATGGGGCATCCACAACTTCTCTGGGCAACATGTTCCAGCGCCTCACCACCCTCACAGTGAAGGGTGTGGCCTCTAGCCAATTTAGATTAGCTAGAAGCTAATCTAAATCTACCCTCTTTCATAGAATCATAAAATCATGGAATCATTTAGGTTGGAAAAGACCTTTAAGATCATCAAGTCCCACCGTTAACCTATCACTGCCAAGTCCACCACTAAACCATGTCCCTAAGCACCAC